TATGCGACGTGGATTTTTTAAAATTTCGCTGAAATTTGTCGAGTTCTATTAAAAACGATATCATTTGTATGAAAAAACAGGTAAATGTTATTCAGGCTACGACTTCAGTGGCCTAACGGTTAGCACTATGGACGTTGGATTTGCAGACCTCGGATTTAATTCCCGTTCGAATCAATTTGGTTAGTGCCCCAGAGTGAATTTCGTTGTTCGGCACTCATTGTATAGGGGTTTCGCTAGTTTAAGACCAGGTAATGGGTATGGTTGTCAGGCACATAATTTTATTATTATTATAGTCTGCCACGCTGGCGCAATGTGGGTTGGAGTCTTGACACATTTTTCAAGAGTTGAAAACCTTTTTCAATATGCAGGTTGTACATTTCTTTTATCAAATTGCAATAACGAACGTGACGTTTACCTATAATATAGTAACAATCGCGAGGCTAGTTTGATCCTTATAAACTTGTAATCCTACTTTTTTTTACGATATCAGGTGATGGGACGAACAAGTTTTGCGCCTGATGGTAAGCGACACGCCTGTCCATAACAGTTGCAGTGCCACTCGGAGCTTTAAATAGCAAAGAATGAGGTGCACTGACATAAGTTGAAAAGTCCCATGTGCCTGTAATTTGACCAGGACCCTTACCCTTCAAAACCGGAACGCAGTAATGTTCACATTAATGTTTGGCGGCAGAAATAGGTAAGGTGGCAGTACTTTCCTGGATGAACTGTTTCATGAGCAGCTCTAATGCTACTAAAACATTCAGCTTTGAGGGACTACTTTTACAATTTTTAACATTTAAAAAAATAATTATTCCGAGCAGAGCAGTGATATCTAATATTGGGCACAACAACTCATGAAAATGTTATCGCAATCGTATAAATAATGATGGAATGCACTTACATTCAATTTTTGTAAATATTTGTGGTAGCCAATGATTCTATTTTATTATAAATAATATTACTTAAGAAAAAGACTAGTAAGTATATTTGTATAGAAGACAGTTGACTAAATGAGATCTTAATAATCATGCGCTTGATACATTTATTAGTATACGTGCCTAAGTTTATTTTCGTTTGTACCGCTCCTTGTTCTCAAAGCATTTTAATGTAAGTATACTAAGTAAGTATGTATCTAAGTAGTAGGGACTCTTCAACTTTCTTCGGCCAGGGGAGAACAATCGAAAGTCTAGTGACTCTTTTTTTGTATATAAGATATGAGATAGGGACGAAATTATCGAATGAGTAGCTTTTCCACTTTTGGTAATTTTCTCATAATATCTATTGTTAGATCCCCTTGGCCCAATAAATTTTATTAGCCTCATAAGTGGACCAAGCATAATTGCAAGCAACTTGCAATTATGCGAGTGTTGACAACATCGATTAGCGCATCTAGTTATGTACTTGACCTAATTTCGTGATTAAATTCTATTTAGTAAACACTGTAAATGTTTTGCTATACTTCTTAAGCACCTAGAAGAACCTACCAACCTTTCTCACTCGGAAAAAATGGCATCCGAAGATGTAAGTAGCAGTAGAGCCACAGATTACCTTACCTTACCTATTTCTGCCACCAAGCACTAGGTAATGTGAGCTGTGTTCCAGTTTTGAAGGGTGCTGGTGACTTTACAGGTACCCACATGGGACTTGTCAACTTATGACTCAGGGCGACGGGTCCAGTGGCAGTGCCATTCAGAACACTGCGGGTCGTATTCCAGAACTCTACTCAATGCTCAAGTCAGGATTTGAGCAGATTTGAGTATGATTTCAACACTGGAAATACGACCCTAATGGCAAGGACTTGAGTATGATTTTCAGTGCTCACTGCAATACTCAAGTCCTGACTTGAGTATTGAGTAGAGTTCTGGAATACGACCCTGCGATTTAAGACTCTGTGTTGCACTGCAACTGCTATGGACGTGTGCCGCTTACCATCAGCGCATGACTTGTCGTCTCGTGACTTGGTATCATTAAAAAAAAAGAAAATGTATTGAGGACATTCTTTTGAAATGAGTCTGAGTTGCATATGCATTGTAATTGGTATCAAAATTGCATAACAGAAAAGGTGCAGATTGACAGATAAAAAAAAAGGTTTTCTTTAGTTAATCAGCTGTGCTGTACATATAGGTACAGTAGGAATGGAAAATTTATCTATCCCACTTACTTCTATCTATGCAAATTTCACACAACACGTACTAGAAAAAACCAACCTTAGGGCCGGTCACAAATGTGCGGCACGACAATGAACTTGGCGGAAGCAGTTGTCACGCCCGCACTCGAACAATGCCCTCGCACCGATAGGGACAATTAGTTATATTACCATACTCGTAGATAATTATAACATTCACAAGTCAACGCTAACTAAACAGGTTATAGCACTCCAGATTTAAAGAAAGTGAGGAGTCTACGACTGTTAGAGGTGGGATTTTCCCTAATAACGCAGAAAGAGTGGCAGTGGCAATAATTGATGAAAATTGTGATATGATGTAATGTCTGTCTATAAAAGCTTTTTTAATTTATAATGTGGTTTAGGTAGGAAGGAGCAAGCGTCTTAAAATCCTATTACATCAGTTGAAAAATACATAAATAGCTAACAATGGCAACATAATGGTGTTGTAAGTATTTGGTACTGTGGCGCTATGGCTTGGTGGATACCCTATTTAACCCATTGTGGATGGCAGGATGGGCAGGTCTGAGTCAAGTGCAGGAGCAGTCGGGTGGAACGCTGTGCTTGCGCCGGGCTAGCTCACTGCTGGATCCGCACGTGGTGTGCTTACACGCGCGCTGACGCATCATAACATCGGTATTACATATTACGTGAACCACCGTCTGCAATGTGTAACTTTAGTACATAGTTCAGTGCACGGCAATGCAGTGTAGTTTTTGTGCTAAGATCATATTACATAGAGATTTAATTTTATTTGTACTAAACTGTACTTCCATGTAGGTACTAAACGAAGTGTGTATAAACTATGTCAATATGAGTGTAAGTATTTGTAAACTGCTGTTCTAAATGCCACATTTTCACATTTTATTTGTAAAAAATGTGATATTATCATAGTGAAATATTTAGTGCGTGGTTATCGTTACATATTCCCAAATTTATCCCTAAGTAAATAGTGTCTGACGAATCGTTCTACTTTTATACGAAAGTTATGTACTTAACATATTTGTAATATTGCCATGTTTGATGTACATTAAATTTTCCTGCTTCTTGAAAGGATTTAAAAAAAAACGCAAAACCTACTTCTTTTCCAGCGTGTGTAAAGTTCACAAAAACAATGGTGATAGCTTTAACGGGATTCGAATTTACAAACGTAGCTCTAGATATTCAGTCAACCGAGTTGAAATTAAGTTATAAGAAAAACCTACAGACTTGAGTGTATGTAACATTTTCTTATCTTCCCAAAAATCAAAGGAAGCAATAGATTAGTAGATGTGGGAATTAAGCGGTAAAGATTTTTAAAAAACCATGTGAGGAAAAAAAAATTATAATAACTGCTTACAGTTTGCATCTATCTAGATGGAAGTAAGTGTATGATAAATATTTGAACGCATCAAGAGATTTCGCAATGATGTCTCTGGACCACAACTTTATCTTTTCGCCAGATATTGTTATCGTTTATCTACATTTGTTCTAAGTATAATAAATAAGGCTGTGTAATATCTATGCTGTGGTGTCTATGACGTTAAAAAGTGAAAACAAAATAGTGTTGCTTTTCGTAAATTAGTGTCAACACCAAATGACATACCTATTAATTTTGGGAATAACAAGTAGTATTTTTAGATGTTAATTAAACAACCTCACACTTAATGTGTCCTCAGCGGGTGCGTTTAGTTGTTTGTTAGTTTAATATTTTTTTCTTTCTTGGAATAACACGTGATATTCTTGAGGATTTCCATCATAAATGAGTAAGTGGGTATGCAATAAATAACTTTTGAGTTTCCATAATTGAAATACAATATCCTGTTACAATAGCTAATTGAATAATATACTATATATAAGATAACTCTACCTCATTTTTTTTTAAGTATATGAGAAATTGTTTTGAGACATAATTTTTAACGCTAAGTAAATATAAAAATACTGATGAGAAAATAAGCTGATTTCACGTTCCTTTAATTATTTAATAGGCGGAGTAGATTGTGCAATGGAATACATGTTTGATTCTTTTATTTTCAAGATCGATCGGTTGCGAACAATCGTGTTTCGATACTTTCCGTTGTTTTTTTTGTATATGATGCGTAATTGTAGTTTACCGGTGGTAGGTTAGCCTTAGCAGTTTGAGTGTTTTCGGAAGTACCTACACAAAATGTTAGAAATCGCCGTGTACTAAGTACTGTAGTTTCCTCTGTAGTCAAGGGCCGGAACTATTTCTTATTGACCTTTCTACGATAGACATAAAGCCCTGTGGACCACACACCCCCTGTAATTTATTGTCTTTGCTTAACAATCATAGATGTAAACAGTTCAGTTCAGATGCCTGGAAACGTCACGAGTGTTTTTTATGGCATATCCATTATCAATCAATTTACTTTATCTTCTGTGCTCATGAAGGGCATTCTATGCGACATGCACAAACATTTCCAAAATAGACCTTAGACATGGTTCGATAAACCTGATTTATCCAGAAGTGTATGAGTCTATTCAGATATTTCTTACCTCAAAGGCCCCGTACTTAATAATTTAAATTGCCGTTTTCATTAGATTAACTCGTTCAACGACCTTTTATGTGTGGTTTACAGAGCTACATATTTACTTCTCTTGTTACGCTAATGATTATGAATTAATGCAAAGATTATGCAGAAGAACTTCATTATATTGGTAGGTCAATGATTGTACCTATATATTAAATATTCAGTGGTATGTATATTGTATTAACTTTTAATTCTTTGTTTCAGTTACGAAAGAACTTTCCAAAATACTATCATCATAATGTTGGTATTTTGCTAATTTAAAGGTTTTAGTCAAAAAGATTGTCGTTGCCAAAGAGATTGCCTAAGAAAATCAATAGTAATAATTGACAAAAATGCCTGAGCTGGGTCCTATGATGCGTGCGCTCGAACTGCAGCGGCTGATCGAAGACAAAGTGTCTGAGTGGCGCGAAAGGTCAGCCCAGGTCGCCGGAGGGACCGTGGCCGACTCTTATCAGCAACCACTTAGTTTCAAGCGTCACACAAACAGGCGCAAGAACAGTGCTGAAATCAACAGAATTATCGCAAAGTACTCAAAGCCGAACAAGAGGGCGGACGAGCGATACGTCCTCCCGCAACCCACTCCAGAAATAACTCCGCCGCGGCCCGCTAGGAACAAAAAGTCCAATTTGAAGTTGTCCAAAAGCGAAGACAATCTTGCCAGCGTCAGTGTCGATTTGAATACTCACCCTGACCCGACGGAAATCCGACCTCCGCCTCGTGGTCGGTTCAATATGGCTAAGTACAGCACCAAAAGTTACGAAGACATCACAACGTTTGTTGACATCCATCACACCAACCGGAGCAAAAATTTCGAAGAGAACAGCATTCTGAACGCGAAGCCAGCCAACAAAGATTCTAGACCCAACATCTATAGCACCGGCGAAAATGTGTCGAAAATTACGGATTTCAGTGATAGTGGTGTAAAAGCGCGTCAAAAGTCGAATTTTACAACATCGACACCTTTGTCTAAAAGAAAAACGTATGCTGCAGGTGATTCTGTATCATTGGATTTTGAAAAGTGTTCTAATTATGAAGCTAGTGATCCTCGAAAAGGCTCTTCGGAGCCCGATTTACTTAGCGCAGATAGTGTGGACTCTGTAGTCACGTCAAAGACGACAGACTCTAATAAGCGATGGAAACTTTTGAAAAAACCTTTTCAAAAAGGAACATTTGGCTGGTTGCTGCGGTGGCGGAGGCGTGGAAAAAAGGCCAATCCTCAAAAGACTACTAGGTGAGATTTACTTAATTAAAATAAAATTTACATAGAAAATATATTATTTTAATATACCTATACAAATTGCAGATCTGAATACTAGTTATACCTAAATACGATTTGTAGATACCTGCTTATGTTTTGGGACGAAATAATTTCGGTAGGTACTTTCCGCTGTTAAGATGTTTACAATTTTGTTGTAGTACCTATGAGTCCTCGAAAGATAAACTTTGACTAGAATGTATTTCTTGATAATGGCCTATGCACATGTGCATTGTGCAGATTGCGCAAACACATGTCCGGCTGATGGTTATGATTAAGATGTTGGTACACGTGACTCAGATAATGTCGTAACGCACATCACAAGTCAACATTATTGAAAGCAATTTAATTGATTATTTGCCCATAGGAAACTTTCAGTATGTTTTTACGTATTGATTAGAATTGAATAAGTATTTATTGAATAAATACAAACTCATGTTTCATACATACTTACTGATTTGCTTCTTTAATTCAAATCCATACTAAACAACATCAATTATACCGTCCTTTGCTATTCTGAAATTAATGTTAGCGAAACATAATATAAAATCAAAAGCTAGTAAGGTTAGGTGTGTGTTGTAATTTAGTTTTTTATTTCACTCTCTAAAATCTACATAATATACTCCCTGCACAGTCGAGTTACTGCATGTACGTATTTAGTAATAAATATTTATTATTGTTCGCCAATCTGACATCCTTAGAAAAAGTTTATACCTACATATAATGAAACCGTTATCATTTATTTGCAATGTGTTTAATAAAATTGCTGTACGTACTCATCAATTCAACATCAATTGCAAAAATATCCGTTTTATAACGATACGGCATTGTTTGCAATAAATAAATATTCACGGTATAAGTGATTTGTGGCTGTGACGACGAAAGGAAATTCTATCATCCACTTATGAAACACAGCAATTTCATTTTCTAAAAAGTACGAGTGTAATGAAATTGACCTGTGCATGTAGCGGAACAGCGTGAGAGCATTGTTTTCTATCGCATTACAATTGAATGAGTCACTCGTAACATCGCTATCTGTACAGATTTGGCAATTTATTTATTATGCCGTCTCTACAACCGAAGTTACGTTATCAGGAAATATTATGTATAACATATCGAACTAATAATAATAAATAATAATATTTGTTTATTTGCTTCCGCGATAAATTTGTGAGAGGCAGGTGTCTAGGTTGACGAATATATATTTTTATTAGAAAAAGCTGCATAATAATAAAATTAATTTTCTATTTCAAAATTTTTACCTACTGCATCGAAAAGTTGGTCGTAAAATAAAGTTTCGTGTAATGTGTTCCAATGTTTAAAGAGACTATGCCTAAAGAGGCGACACTACTTCAGCTCGAATCCAAAATTTTCCCGTACTGTTCATTTTGCTTAGGTCGAGCGACAGGGACACTGGCTTTATTTCAGAGTTTATTTTTTTACTAACGAAATTACAGCCATTTGAAAAATGTGTATCGTAAATCGTGTTCTGTTTATTTCAGTTGATATGAAAAAGAATCATTGGTACTTATATGTAAAGTACCTATTAAATACCTCGGTTTTCTAGTAAAATTTCGAGGTAAGTTTGTGTTTTTTTTCTACCTTGAAAATTTTTAGGAATTGTGTTTTCACATCGCGTCAGTGTATATCCTCAATTTTACTTACTTTACTATTTTTTCCAAGGTGATTAATTCAACACTTTTACTGTCATGCGGAATTAACGTACTGTTCACTCTAACAATTAGATACTCTCCTTGTATGTAGTGTACGCGATCCGGTTCGCGCTTGGCCGAAACTTCGATACGCTAGCGCCCCTAACGGTTTATGTAAGAACTTCGACGTTGTTTGAAGGTTTAATTCCAAGGCCCTGATTGTTTGATAAGCGGGTAGATGGCGCTAAACGTTTTCAACTGGAATATTCGTCGTGGTTTTCTCGGGAAATAACATTACGTTATCGACATAGGCGTGATTTTAGTGATTTTCATTTAACACGCTTTCGTACAGGTACATTCAAGTAACACGTACATTGCAATTAACGTGGCAGGAAAGTACACAAAGCATCGTACCGTACATTACGCATAGGGATGGCGAACGGCATTACTATTGTATGTAATATTATAAAGACAAATAATTATGTCAGCTCGTGTAAGTAGATAAAAGAGCTAAAGACAATAATTCTTTAGCCCTCCTATATTTCAATATTTATTAGATATAAATTTTGAAATATAGATGGACTTTATAATTTTTGTCCCTTGCAATTTTAGGAAGGTTTTATTTGTTAACGATTCTTTTGCAACATTAGCCTTTTGTTTTACCGGTCGTTAGTGTTCATAGAGTCAAATTAAAACAACAAACAAACCGCCTGCTGCGTCGCTTTCGGCTGACTAACACTGTGACCCTGAGACTGGTCATCTAGTTTGGTACTCGCTGTTGTGTAACATTATCATGATTGTATGCTAGGGTAGCCACGATTACTTCATTCGTGCTGTTTGTTCAAATTGTACTTCAGTGTTAGCTTGATTACTTGCTAATTGATTTATTGATTCAAAATGTTTGACCGTTTTCGGATCTTAATAAAATATTAACTGATAGTAATGTCAGTATTACCATAGATGTACTATTAAGGTAAATCTTTACAATTTCCATTTGTCAATGGAATATAATATATACACAAGTCATGTTTATAAGTACATATTACGTTGTAAACCTTGAAGTGTTTTGTTGATTTAATGTCATGTTATTATTATTAACAAGTACATCTAGTACACAATGCCTCCTTTGTTCTGTCCTTAATGTTCCCGTAAGTGACAATATAGTTTAAGACGAAACGTGTAACATATCACCATAAAGTCTTTCGCGTCTAACTTTTAGTACATTTCGAACTTTTAGGTTTTAGATATTATGTACTACACATATCTACACAGCCATTGGTGTTCTTTACGGCTAAAACGTTAATTTGTTTGAAAAAAACAAATACGTGCTTTTATATTCTAATAATATAACTGATATTATAAAAAAACTGACCTCTGAAGTTTACGGAATTATGTCTATTTGCCAAATTTTATTGGCAACCCCATCTCCAATCTCATCCTCTAATTTGCCTTGGATGTGGAATATTTTCTTCAAATTTGAATGGGACCATTTTCTAACAAATCAAAACAAAAGAATTATCGAAATCGGTACACAAACGTCGGAGTAATCGTGTAAAATATACACAAAACAATCTCGTCCTTTAAAACTCGGTTAAAAATAAGTTCTTTTTACTTATTTTACCATTGTTACAATTATTAATTAATTTCAGTTAATCTCATCTACCTAACCCACGAAAAGATTCTGAAAATATCTCACAATAAACTTATTATTGCTATAGAAGTATCAAGCATCCATTATTGTATAATGTTCTTTGTGGAACCGATATAAAAGGAAATGGACAACGTGAAGAGTTGGTTTCGGTCAGATGCCTCTAACACGGAGTTCTATAAGCCATTTTGTTATTCGCGTTATATGTAGATATAAATGCTTTTTTTCTATGGCATCTTTTAATAAATAGATAGATATTTCAATACATTAATTATCCTATTGAACAACCTGTTCTTTGTTCATTGGTAAGGCTCATTTGTACGACTCATTTGTACGCATCAAGTTATAGAGTTACTTGTAATTCGATAAGTGTCTAAAGAAGCTAGTTTGAACATTGACGAAGAGTTATATACTTGTATCTTACAGTTATCCATTTCAGTTTCTAAGTTAAGTAAGATACTAGGTGGGGTGGTTAGTGTATTTTGGTAGGGTATATAATTATGCATACAGAATAAATGTAATCCTTATGACACTACAAATAATTTAAAAGAAAATTTTCAACTTACACTATGTGAACTACTTTGTTATTCCATGTGTCTTATTATACTAAATATATATAGTATATAAGTAAAAGAAAATTCCTGAATAGATATTGTAAATGAGCAAATAAACAAATAATAAGTAACAACCTAACCCCATTAAATAAGTCGTGGTATACTTATTACACTCTTTGAACTGACTTCAAGAAAAGGAGGAGGTTCTCAATTCGACTGTTTTTTTTAATGTATGTTACGCGATAACTCGGGCATTTGTGAACCGGTCTTGATGATTCTTTGTTCGTTGGAAAGTGCGTACCTCAATAGTAGTTCCATTTAAAATTGAAGAAAATATTCCACCTCTAAGGGTGGCAAACTAGGGGATGAATCCGGTTGCGCGCACTTTCCGGTAACCGATTTCAATAAAACTTGGTAAATAGATGTAATTCCACGAAGTTTTGAGGTCGGTTTTTTAGTACTCTGTACTGAGATTATTTTTCAAAAGAATAAGTGCGCATTTGACTTTCATCTCACCTGATGGAAAGTGATGAAGAAGTCGTCGATGGAGCATGCGCACTTAAATAGTGCCTGTTCATTCTCGCCTTGAAATGACCCAACTTATAGCGTGTAATATAAAAATATAATTTAAACCCTATGTCATGGCTTAAAATTATATATATCCCAGTAACAGTTATTGGAAACTTGTTACAAAGCTATTGGCACACTAGTTTATGAATGCTACTCGATTCAACTTATGCAAATGTTGCTACCTACTTGGCGAGTGGAGTCATATGTTACATTATTAACGCTTTGCTATTATTTCTTATAGTTTTTCTACATATAGGTACCAAATACGTCACAAACCACATAAATACTTCTTCCGTGAGATACGTCAACAAATCTCTACATAAAATTGGCGTAATTCGGTTTATTGGGATTTTGTACAGGCGTTTTCAAAAGATTAAAACAAACAAGTTTAAAATTTATTTACTAAGTATACGTGAGGCGCACTATAAGTTTCCGGAATGAATGAGAAAAAAATACTATAAATGGCCAGAAATGAATTTATTGTTTCTCAAAATATTCTTCGTTAGCGTTAATGCACTTTTTCATACGAATGAACCAATTTTGAAAACAATT